GAGAACTGAAGTTTATATTTTATTCTGTACAGAAACTATTCTGCCTTTAGAGAACTGACGTTTCTATTTTATTCCGTGCAGTAACTATTCTGCCTTTAGATAACTGACGTTTCTATTTTATTCCGTACAGTAACTATTCTGCCTTTAGAGAACTGACGTTTCTATTTTATTCCGTACAGTAACTATTCTGTCTCTAGAGAACTGATGTTTCTATTTTATTCCGTACAGTAACTATTCTGCCTCTAGAGAACTGACGTTTCTATTTTATTCCTTACAGTAACTATTCTGCCTCTTGAGAACTGACGTTTCTATTTTATTCCTTACAGTAACTATTCTGCCTCTAGAGAACTGACGTTTCTATTTTATTCCTTACAGTAACTATTCTGCCTCTAGAGAACTGACGTTTCTATTTTATTCCTTACAGTAACTATTCATCATGTGTGACGACGAAGTTGCCGCTCTTGTTGTAGACAACGGCTCCGGTATGTGCAAAGCCGGGTTCGCCGGAGACGATGCTCCGCGAGCCGTGTTCCCTTCCATCGTGGGCCGTCCTCGCCACCAGGTAATCTTGTGAACATTTAGTCAGTTCGAACATAGAAATACAACTTAGAAACTTGGAAAAGGTTTTCTTATATGGATTATGGATTATTCTATTACAAATATAGCTCATTTAATTAAACTTTGAACAAAATTTTAATGAGACGTCTTCATGTAATTAGAACATAAGTAACTCATGTGAGTCATTCTTCAGGGTGTGATGGTGGGTATGGGTCAGAAAGACAGCTACGTCGGTGATGAGGCCCAAAGTAAACGTGGTATCTTGACCCTGAAGTACCCCATTGAACACGGTATCGTCACCAACTGGGACGATATGGAGAAGATCTGGCACCACACATTCTACAATGAACTCCGTGTTGCCCCCGAGGAACACCCCGTTCTCCTCACAGAAGCTCCCCTTAACCCCAAAGCCAACAGAGAAAAGATGACCCAGGTACCTTAATTCTTCTTTTATTATTACTATTATATTTTTTCTGGTGAAGAATTCACGTTATTGTATTACAGACACCCAATAATATAAAATCAAATAAAATCTCACGTTTTACAAAACTCGTAGTTTAAATTAAAACATATTAATCTACTGTTGCTTCCTTCAACAGATCATGTTTGAAACATTCAACACCCCAGCCATGTACGTGGCTATCCAAGCCGTTCTGTCCCTCTACGCTTCCGGTCGTACTACCGGTATTGTGCTGGACAGCGGCGACGGTGTTTCTCACACTGTGCCCATCTACGAAGGTTACGCCCTCCCTCACGCTATCCTCCGATTGGACTTGGCTGGTCGGGACTTAACTGACTATCTGATGAAAATCTTGACCGAGCGTGGTTACAGTTTTACCACGACAGGTATGACGTAAATCCCATATTTTAATTATAAAACTTATATTATTTTCTTTACATTTTTTATTTCCTGCAACAAATTATTTTATTTAAAAGTTATAACATTTTCCTATTTTCAGCCGAGCGGGAAATCGTTCGTGATATCAAGGAGAAACTCTGCTATGTCGCTCTGGACTTTGACCAGGAAATGGCCACCGCTGCTTCCTCCTCTTCTCTCGAGAAGTCCTACGAGTTGCCCGACGGTCAGGTCATCACCATCGGTAACGAGAGGTTCCGCTGCCCCGAGGCTCTCTTCCAGCCTTCCTTCTTGGGTATGGAGTCTTCTGGTATCCACGAGACCACCTACAACTCTATCATGAAGTGCGACATTGACATCCGTAAGGATCTGTACGCCAACACCGTTCTGTCTGGTGGCACCACCATGTACCCGGGTATCGCCGACAGGATGCAGAAAGAGATCACTGCTCTCGCTCCTAGCACTATGAAGATCAAGATCATCGCTCCTCCCGAGAGGAAGTACTCCGTCTGGATCGGCGGATCCATCTTGGCTTCTCTGTCCACCTTCCAGCAGATGTGGATTTCCAAACAAGAGTACGACGAGTCTGGTCCAAGCATCGTTCACCGCAAATGTTTCTAAACCTCAGGACTTTCTGTTCTTGCTTTTCTTCTGCTTTCGTGTGCTCACTCAGCCTTCCTCCCCGACCCTTCACTATCCTTTGCAGATATACTTTTCCATCTAACTAATTATTCGCCAATAGCGCCACCTCTAGGCCAAGCAGCACACTTTTCTCCAATAGGGAAGTAAATTTATTAATACGTCCAATTATACTCATTTCAAGAATTTCATTATTTTCTGTAAAAAACAAATAAATATTTAATAAAAACTTCGGAAATTTATTAGTTTCATATTTGTACTTTGTTCAATATTTATCTATTGTCACTTAACCTGTTTTCATTATTATTAATTTTCATCCTGTTTTCACGTCATAAAGAAGCAGTCCAATTACACTCTTTTAATTATAAGAAAAATCTACACACGTGTTAATAACTTCTTCTAAAGGTACAGTTTGACGATTAACATTCTTTACAACACGAATAGACACACGTGTTAATAATTTCTTCTAAAGGTATAGTTTGATGTTTAACACTCTTTACAACAAGAATAGACACACGTGTTAATAATTTCTTCTAAAGGTATAGTTTGATGTTTAACACTCTTTACAACACGAATAGACACACGTGTTAATAACTTCTTCTAAAGGTACAGTTTGATGTTTAACATTCTTTACAACACGAATAGACACGCGTTAATAACTTCTCCTAAAAGTACAGTTTGATGTTTAACTGTTTAACATTCTTTACAACACGAATAGACACACGTGTTAATAACTTCTTCTAAAGGTACAGTTTGATGTTTAACATTCTTTACAACACGAATAGACACACGTGTTAATAACTTCTTCTAAAGATATAGTTTAAGAACTCAATAAAAATGGTTTTCAATATTGGATCTTAAGAGTGAATATTGGCAAGTGGAAGACAATAGGGTAGTTACATAGAAGACAACCTTTACTATAGAAAACAGATTAATGCCGTTACCATTTGGGTTACGTGTTGCTTCTACAACATTGTAGTTATTAACAGAGTTTGCTTTGCCTGAACTACTCTAGAATGTTGTACACATCTACTTGAATAAGTGGAGAACTTTTTTTGATAATGATATTGAAAGGCTAAGAAAGGTTTAGGATTAAACCTTCATGGTCACGTAAGTTCCCCAGGACACCAAGAAACCTGCACGAGACAAGGGATTCTTGGATTGTTCTATGGTTTCTTTCTCTAACATAACTCGTCAAATTTATGTTCCTCTATTGGTCATCCAACTCTGGAAGATCCACTCATTTTAGATATAAACGCCAGTGTTTTTACAGTGGAATGGTTTTGCCACAAATACAACATAGAAAAATAAATGTGATTGCATAGAATTAAAGTATTGTGCAACTGGAAAAGACGTGTTGTTGGTTAAAGTATTGTACAACTGGAAAAGACGTGTTGTTTGTTAAAGTATAGTACAACTGGAAAAGACGTGTTGTTTGTTAAAGTATTGTACAACTGGAAAAGACGTGTTGTTTGTTAAAGTATTCTTTTCCAGTTGTACTATACTTTAACAAACAACACGTCTTTTCCAGTTGTACTATACTTTAACAAACAACACGTCTTTTCCAGTTGTACAACGTGTTGTTTGTTAAAGTATAGTACAACTGGAAAAGACGTGTTGTTTGTTAAAGTATTGTACAACTGGAAAAGACGTGTTGTTTGTTAAAGTATTGTACAACTGGAAAAGAGGCATTGTTGGTTAAAGTATTGTACAACTGGAAAAGACGTGTTGTTGGTTAAAGTATAGTGCAACTGGAAAAGACGTGTTGTTGGTTAAAGTATAGTACAACTGGAAAAGGTGTGTTGTTTGTTAAAGTATAGTACAACTGGAAAAGGTGTGTTGTTTGTTAAAGTATAGTACAACTGGAAAAGACGTGTT